GGAAGAGCTACCCTTTTTCTCTTGTTCTTTGCATCCTTTCACTTTTCTATGTTCTTCCTCCTTGGCATTTTAAAGGGTTTTTTCTGTACTTTGCTTCTTACTTCAAGCACTGAGTTTCACAGCCATTTTGTTTCAGATTTTTTCCAATTATAAGTACTGGAAATAATAAAACCCTCCTAATTATTAAAAAAAAAAAGCCTTTTTGACTTTATATTGTGCTGGTCTTTGCATTTCACCAATTTTGAGAATAGACTGTTCCAGGATCACATTTCTAAAACGTTCCTGGTTTGTATTTTTTTTTTTTGTTTTTTTAAAGAAAAGGCTCTATGCTTACTGAAATTTCAATAAAATAATCTTGTCAAACCTTATTTTTACTGAAAGACACACTTTGACCTGACTATGAGCTTTTTTTAGGGATTACCTCAAATTTCCAGTGGACCCACTGGCATTGCTAGCCATGAAACAAAACTCATAAGGAGCTGAAGGGTTAAAACCCCAAAAGGGTGCTCAACTAAACAGCTACTGAGTGGCTTCATATATTAATCAATTACTAATTTAATTTTAACTCCCTCTGTCTTTCTCCCAACCCGTGAGTGAGCTGGTGGCAGTCGAAACCCCGAGACTATTTAATTGGAGCTATTGACAAGCAGGCAGGCTGTGCGTGGGCAGTTGGGATGCGCATGGATTCGGGGACGGGCTCGATGTGCCCTTGGCCTGGCTTCATCCTGCCATAGCCAAGCACATTACTCTGTTGAGCCTGCCTTTTGAGATAAAAAAAAATGTCTGGTAATTAATGAGTGGTAAATTAATAGGGGCTGATTAGCTGCCTGGGGAGGATGAAGCCCAGTGAGCGAGCAGCCCCATGCATCAGCCCTTCACCTTCATGCTGCCCTGGGTGGAAGGCTGAGCCTTTTCCTCCACATGCACAACTGTCCTCAGGTGTCCTTACCTTTCAGGCTGTGTCACTACAAACGTTTGAACCCAGGAGGGAGGGAAATGATCATAAAAAAGCTCTGTGTGCTGGAGGGGCCAGCTGCCTCCCCAGCAGCAGCTGCCACTGAGGCCACCCTGGCTCTGATGTTCTGTGCAGCCCCTGTGTGGTGTCTTAGTGGCCATCCAAAAAAGACCAGGATCCCAGTTATTATACATCACACTCAAGAAATACCTCCTTTTTATTGTAAGCATGGAGACAGCTCTCCTTAGTGCAACGGGAGAAGTGTTGAAGCTGCCACGATCTGGGTAAACTGCCTGCGAAGGCTGAGCTGCGTCTCCTCCGAAGCTGTCGTGCTACAAACCCACATCGGGAGTTTTTCTTTTTCAATGAGAAAGATGAGGCCAATCTGTATAGGCACAAACTCACATGCATATGTACACGTTGCTCCCAGCACTTTCCCGGAAAAGTATAATCCACTTACTCTGTTCTTTCTTGCTTCATCTGATTGGAAGGTGTTCAGCTGTTACCATGCGGATCTTGGGATAAGACTCTAGTCAAAAGCATTCTGGCAAACTTTCTCGTGTTTTTGGAGTTGCCAGGTGATGCTGGCCGCTTGAACTCTACAATGCCAAGCCGACTTGTCAACACCAAAGTCACATTTTAACTCAGCTTGGCTTTCTCCCTGGGAGTATTGACATTGCAGTAATATTTGCAGTCTGGTGTCAAGAAGTTCTATCACCAGCATGCTGAGGAGCAATGAAACCTGACGTCCTAAGTAACAAACAGTGCCTGTGCATTAAGGGATTAACAAATCAGTGGTGGTTATGGAAGTCTTCCTGGCTTCCCTCCAAGTGCTAAACATAGAGCTGAAATAGTGCTTCATCCAGAGAAACCTGAGAAGGCTGGTGCTGCAAATGATATTGCAAGCTTTACGGGAGGATTTATATTACAGTGGCCGGTGACACAATGCCCCTTTGCTAGCTGGTGCACCCTGAGGGAGATTTGTTGCTTTATCTTCTTTGTCATCTGCAGTGTGAAGCTATGCGGGGATGTGGTGTCTTTGTACCACCTTCAGGCACAGAATTAAGTTGGTGCAGGGGTCCCCAACCAGCGCTTTCTCTCCTGCTTCCTGACATCTCATTCCTCCCTGAGCACTTTGGAAGAAAAGCTCAGTGGGAGAGGCCAGAGCTCTCCAGCCGGCGCTGAGGCAGCTGCTCGATGCTGTACGTATCATCCACAGTGCAGGCGTGCTGGGATGTACCCTTTGCTTCTTCTGGTGACTCATTTGAACAGATGAATGGAAAGAGCTTTTCCTTCCCTTAGGAGATCAAGAAGCACTGTCTCATGAGCCACGCTTTGCAGTGGAAGGGAAGTAAAGGGAGAAGTGGATGTTATTTACGGTAGTCGTATATGGATTTTTTTTTTTGTT